TATTTTTAATTTAAAAAATATTTGTATTTTAATGTTTTAATTTGTTTATGTAGAAATTAACTCATATTTTTATTATAATTTCAAAGTTATATTATATTTTTTAAATTTATAATTTAATTTATATCAATATATTTAAAATATATATTTTAATTTTTTGAATATATTTTGGCATGAATATATATTGGAAGAAGTGAACTTTAATATAATGTCAGAATTTTATTAAAAATTGTATTATATGGTATATTTGTGTTAAGAACATACAAGTATCTCTCATTAATCTCAAAGTGTCTCAAATCAGTGTCCTATATATGGCATCTCTCATGCACCAAAAATGATCTGAAAAATAAAAATGTATACATTAAACCTTCAGTTTGCATATTCGTGGTGTACCTTACACTGATGGTTTCATATGTTGTTTTCGTTGTACACAAACATGCCATTTCTGGCCGAAAGTCTCCTGCAGTGAGAAAACTGGTGATGATTCAGAGTGTTTAATGACACGTTTGTGTTGATATTTGAGTTCTGTTTTTCTTCGCCAGCTCCCCTGCAAAATACCAACATGACGATTGTCTGGATCTGCATGGCTTCAGTAACAGGCCTGGTGACATTTCTGGCTATTGTCATCTGCAGAAAACGGCAAGAGGAGTACTTTGAATTGTCTGCATTCATTTTCCCTGCTTTATTCTGTTACATGGGATAGTTCATCTAAAAATACATTCTGCCATCATTTACTCACTCTCACGTCTTCCAAACCTGTATGACTTTCTTTCTTTATTTGTTTCTGTGACTGAATCACTGACTGAATGAGCTGAATTTTTTAATTATTCTGAACTGAAGCTGATCCATTAAAAAAAATGATTTGACTCAAAAGAATGATTCATTCACAAATAAAACATCTCTACTTCTCTCATAAATGCGCCAATAAGAGTATGGGTGGATGTTTAGGTTTTAGTTGCTGTTGCAGAAGTCATACAGGTGATGAACAATATGAGTGGGAGTACAATTGTCATTTTTGGGTGAATCGTTCATTTAAGAGAATATTCTTGCCAGCTTCCCATCTTGAAATGATCCCACTTAAACACCTCTATGACTCGTTCTGTAATTATCTATGAAAGAGGGGATATATTTAGGTACATGCACACCTTCAAACGCATACCTCACAATGGAAACTTGATTTAATTGATTTTGGACTAATAACACTGCAAAAATATCCTTAAGTCATATATAGCACAGAAATAAAAAATCCCATTCATTTTCTCCATATAAAAAGAAAGTGCTGCGAAATATCACGGAACTCCTGAAGCATTGTGAATGATCCAAAGTAATGTTTGCGAAAGTTTGAATATTTTGTTCTAATGTATTTCATACTTGCAATTCTCAATAGTTTTGTTCTATACCATTGTTTCTGATTTAATAATTTCTTTCATCATTTAAAATACTTTTTTGCTTCGAAACAAATGTTCAGTCTGATTAATCTCAGAGCTGCTTGATTTGGATCATGACTTGAACTCTCTATTGAAGAAGTTTATGGAATCTCAGTGGAGAAAATTAATGTGAAAACACTGAAAAGTGGGTGGTTTCTGTGGCTCTGTTGCTTTTTGATGACAGCAACTTAGTTTGTGTTAAATAATGAATTTGATTATACTTTATAATCACTTACTTCAATGGACGGACACTTTCTCATTTTTTAAAATATCTATAAGGCAGTGGATTTAGACACAGAAGACGTTTGATATCCACATGTGAAGCAAAAATGTCTTGAAGTTCTTAAACATCGAGTTAATTAAGTTTTACATGCTTTATTATTAACATGTGGGTTGTATATCACAAGGCCCTTTAAAAACACACACACAATATTTCTGTTTCTTCTTCTGGTTTGCGTTACAGACGTTGTGGGTACAGCAAAGCTTTCCAGGACTCAGACGAGGAGAAAATGCACTACCAAAATGGCCATGGTACGAGAGACACTCATTCCCCCCATAATTTCTCTTTTAATGAATTTTAGGCAGGAAACTATTGCTTTTTTTGGTCCAATATCTTCTTGTAGCTGCTGTCTGGGCCCTTCAGAGATTGTGGCTGTGACTGAAAATTGCTTTCATGCTGCAATATGTGACCAAATGCTAATTCTGTTTATTCTAGTATCATTTCCAGAAGCCAGATTTTATATTGATCCCCACACATATGAGGACCCCTGCCAGGCTGTCCACGAATTTGCCAGAGAAATTGAAGCGTCCAGGATCAAAATAGAGAAAATCATCGGTTCAGGTACAGCTGTCCTCGGTGATTGCGTGAAATACACCTGGGCATCTGGGGAATACATGAGAAATGCTTGGAACAAGATCAACAGAATATAAAGTTCTGCTCAAAGAATATGCAAGATGCTTATCAATTTTATTTGAAAAATTATGAAAACCCATGAAAGAAAAATGTGTTACTTATATAAACATTAACTGCAATAAAATACAGTATATAAAAAATTATGCAGCTTCATCAGGGCAGTAATAAAAAAAAAACAAGAAATAAAACATATTTTAAAAACGTTTAGCATTTTTTCTTATTTAAAAATGCTAAACATCTTGTGAGAACCACTGTATTTAAACGTATCATTTTAGTATTACTGTTAAAGCGGTCAGATATCATGTGAATTTCATTGTGAAGGTTGAAAGTGTTTGAATCTAAACCCAGCACGAGTGGACACTGTCCAGTGTCTAATCTTCTTTTCTGGCACACTTCAGGAGAGTTTGGGGAAGTGTGTTATGGCCGGATGAAGCTCCCGGGGAAACGTGATATCCCGGTGGCTCTGAAGACTCTTAAAGCTGGCTACACCGAGAAACAGAGGAGAGATTTCCTGGGAGAAGCCAGCATCATGGCACAGTTCGATCACCCCAACGTCATCCACCTGGAGGGAGTTGTTACCCGCAGTAAGCACTTTACAAGACTATCAGTGAAGGGCACTTATTATTGCGAACTCTTTGAAATACACTATTTTGTGTTAAAAAATATTCCATACCATTTATGTAGCAGAATGTTTACTCTACATCTCAAACACATTATTTGATTTTGATTATATAATTGAATAAAATGTATATAGATTTTATAAGAATAATGGTTAACACTTTAGTATAGAGACCAATTGTTGCTTATCAGCATGCCTATATATATATATACAATTTTTGTACTCATTTTTTTTTTAAATCAGTGTTGTATCTTTTTACCAAATTAATTTAAAATGTATTATATATAACTAATATGTATAAAAATAACAAAAAATGAAATATAGTTTATAAGATATTAAATGCAATATTATATATCATTAATAGCTATTTTTTAAATAATTTTTTATTACATTTTCTTATTAGAATAAGATATATTATATATTACAATATTTGATACGTGTGTTTGTGTGTGTGTGTGTGTGTGTGTGTGTGTGTGTGTATGTGTTTAAAATATAAAATATTATATTTCATCTGCATATATATATATATATATATATATATTCTAAATACTATTTAAAATATATATTTATTCTCACAAACTCAAGCCAGTTTATCTGTGTGTATTTATTTATTTATTTATTTTGTAAGTAGTCTACCCCTTGAAGTTGATATAGACCACTTCACCTCACACTGGGGTCCTGATCACCCTGTCAAGGTTTATTTTACAATAACAATCAGATAAATGTACATCACTACTTCACCAAGTAAATAATTCACCCACAGTTGGGTAAAAAGAAAAGAAAACCCACAGTTCTGTTTCTCTTCATTCACACTTGCATCACCTCTCCAATCTCTTGACATCTTTCTCTTGTTCTTTCCCATGTTTTTGCATTCTCTACCCAGGCAAACCGGTAATGATCATCACAGAGTACATGGAGAACGGCTCTTTGGACTCTTTCCTGAGGGTGTGTAAACATGTTTGTGTTTGTTCTCGTATATCGAACCTCCCTGTGAACTGAAGCTAAACTTCACAGATTTCTCTCCCTCTTCTTGTTTTTCTTCCCTCGAAACAGAGACATGACGGTCAGTTCACCATCATTCAGCTGGTGGGGATTCTGCGTGGCATAGCAGCTGGCATGACTTACTTGGCTGATCTGGGGTATGTCCACCGGGACCTGGCTGCCAGGAATGTTCTGGTCAACAGTAATCTGGTGTGCAAGATTTCAGACTTCGGTCTGTCACGCGTGCTGGAGGACGACCCTGACGCAGCCTACACCACCAGCGTGAGTTTGTGAAACCAGGAGCATACTCTACAATGCTTGGTGTTTTTCAGACACGCTTTGGTTGTGTTTTCTCCCTAATCTTTGTCATCTTCTGTCTTCATTGGATTTTAGGGAGGGAAGATCCCGATTCGCTGGACGGCGCCGGAGGCCATCACATATCGGAAGTTCTCCTCCTCCAGTGACGTATGGAGTTATGGAGTGGTGATGTGGGAAGTGATGTCATATGGAGAACGGCCATATTGGAACTTGACCAACAGAGATGTGGGTCTAAACGACACTATATATGGGCAATGTTCAGAACAGTTCAGGGTTATTATAGTTAACTTAAATTTCCATTACTGAAATAAAATAAATATTAACTAAAATAAAATAAAATATTAAATCTTAAATTTAAACTTTTTAGACATATGAAAAAAACTAAATTACTAAAACTTTAAAATATAAATTAAAAAGCAAAAATATAAAAATAAGAACTTATCCAAAATAATAAAAAGCTATAATAGTATCTCAATGATAATAAAATAACACTCATATACTGCAAAAAAATAATTTTTGTTTTGTTAATGAGCATTTTTTCATATTATCTAATATAAAAGTTAATTTTTTATTTTAATGTTTTAGACATTAAAAATTTTTTTACAAATATTAAAAATGGTAAAATGGTAACTAAGCAAAAAAGTCAAAAAATTACTAAAACTTTCAAATTGAAATGAAAATGTAAAAATAAGTAATTCAAAATAATAAAAGTAGCAAGTAAATTTATCTTACATTTTCAGAATTGTTGATTTTTTTTATATTTCAACTACAATTCTAAAATCTAGTAAAATATTATTATTATTATTATTAAACAGAAAATATTAAAGTAAGAACTGATTCAAAATATTAATAAAAACAATAATAGCATCTCAAAGATACTAAAATAACACTTAATAAACTGCAAAAAAAAATCTTAATGAGTATAATGAGTATATAAGTAAATTTATCTGACTTTTTTTTTTAGAATATTTCAACTAAAATTCTATTTCTATTCTATTCGGCCGTTCTGAGTTCGAATCCCGACTTGAGGACCTTTCCCGATCACACCCCCCTCTCTCTCTCACTTTGCTTACTGTCAGCTCTTTTCTGTCCTATCATAATAAAGGTCGAAAATAAAAAATAAAAAAATCTTTAAAAATAATAATAATCATAATAGTAATTAAAAGCATGTATTGCATGAAACTGTATTTCCAGTGTGATCCAGAAGTAATACCGGCTGCAATTGATTGCATTTTGACTATTACCAGTTAAGACATGTATAGACAAAAATTTAAGTAAACAAATATACATGTTTTAAATTAAATGAGCATAATGTGATGTGATAACAATGTAGTATACTGCACTTTCTTAATTATTTCTGCACAATGCAGAATGCTGCTCATATTATTATTATTTTTTAAATAGGTATGTCGTATTTAGTGTACTTTGCACTATGCAGCAAGCAGTGTAGTAATTCCATTTCAAACATAGCGAAACATCAGCCACAGTGGAATCATTTTGGCAAGACAAACAGACAAATCAGTGCAATTCCCCAACTTTTAATTCAGTTTGATTGTTTTTTCTGCAGGTGATCAAGTCCGTAGAGGAGGGCTACCGGCTCCCGGTCCCCATGGGCTGCCCCGGTGCCCTCCACACCCTAATGCTGGACTGCTGGCAGAAAGACCGCAACGAAAGGCCCAGATTCTGCCAGATCATCACGGTCCTGGACAAGCTGATCCGGAACCCCGAGAACCTCAAGTCAATGGGCACATTGTGCAGGTGAGCGGCCAGCAATCGATACGCCGCCTTCAGGGGGATTTACCCGACAAATGCACTTTGTCTGCGTCAGATACGATCCGTTTTAAAAGTCTCGCAAAGTTGACAAGAAAGTTTCATCCGAGTGGCTGGGAATACGGTGGGCCTCTTTAAGACGCAAGTGTACATTTTCCAATAAGCTCATCTCAAATAGATGTGTTCGCTGTTAAATAAAAGACCTCTGCTCTATATTGACATTGATCTGCCGAGAACCGAAAAAGAACGCTTCTGCTTTTACAATTGGACTTATATATATAAACTGCTCAGCTCGGAGCGCATGTCCTGTCAAGTTGCCGGTGCATATCCAGATGCGCTGATGGGAAGAAATAGGGATTTCATCCCTGTATTAATCTACCCAAACCGGCCAAATCTACAGCCCCCCCTCCCCTTTCCCACCTTCTCTATCATTTGAACTCATATTGATTTTCTGCCCACGCTCGCCACATTTCAAAGGTACATCTCGTACGCGCCTCCTCACTCCCCCTGCTCTCATTTCAGACTAAACAGTCCTTTGATGAACAGAAGTATTCCTGATTTCACCAGCTGTAGATCTGTGGACGAGTGGTTGGACACCATTAAGATGGGCCGTTATAAGGACCACTTTGCCGCAGGAGGGTATCTGACAGTAGGACATGTGATGAGCATGAAACAACAGTGAGTTGATTGAGTTCTTACTCCGTAACACGATAGAGCGCTTCAGATTGCTAATGCAGAATTTAAGCCTTTGAGATGCATCATCGCAGGGTTCCAGCTGGCTACGTGGATTTTAGTGCTGAGGTAGATGGAGGACAGATTGGAGGTGGCTTTAAGCCTTTGATTGATCGTCACCTCCTCAAGTCAGATGATCAATGAGCATTAGATGCAGTTTCAGGACTGTGTGTCCATTGTCTGTCCAATGGGTCAGTCAATGCTATACCTATTGGTCCAGTTTTAGTGGATTTGTAGACATTGCAGCCTTCAATCGATAGTTTTAACAGATGATTTCACATTCTCAAACCTCTGCTCTCGATTTGATTTGTTCCAGATGTAAAAATTTACTATATATTCTTTGTCCAAACTCATATGGCGTCATTTCTTCCTACATTTTCACTATATTCCAAGTCTTCTAAAGCCATTTGAAAGCTTTATGTGAGGAAAAAAGCTGGGTAATTCATAGTGTTGTTACTGTTATCTAATACTAAATTAATATAAAATATTAGATTAAAACTTTAACCTAATGAAAAATGAAAATAAAAACTTAAATGGAATATAGAAATGTTGCCTTGCCAACTAATTGAAAATAGAGTTAAGAATAAAGTTGAAATGTTGAAAAATTAAGGCTACAACTGAAATAAAAAATGTAGTAAAGAAAAACTAAAAATAAAATGAAAACTAAAAATAAAGATAAAAGCTAATTCAAAATATTAATACAATATTAATAATTTATTAATTACTACAATAGTATTCAAATAATACTAAAATAACACTGATTAGTAATTAATTGAAAGCAGTTTTGTGGTCTTTTAGGGCTATTTTTTCATATTTTCTCCACATTTCCTTAAAGGGCTAGTTCACCCAAAAATGAAAATTCTGTCATTAATTACTCACCCTCATGTCGTTCCAAACCTGTAAGACCTTCGTTCATCTTCGGAACACAAATTAAGATATTTTTGATGAAATCCGAGAGCTCTCTGACCCTGCATAGACAGCAAGGATACTTACACGATCAAGGCTCAGAAACGTAGCACGGAGATCATTAAAATAATCAATGTGACATCAGGGGTTCAACCGTAATTTTACGAAGCTACAAGAATACTTTTTGTGTCCAAAGAAAACAAAAATAACGACTTTATTCGACAATTCGTCTCCTCCGCGTCACCCTGTAGCGCCATTTTGGAGAGTACGTAAACAACGTATGCAACGTATGTACGCGGATACGTTGTTTACGTTCAGATCAAAGCGTAAACAACATAAACAGCGTATCCGCGTACATACGTTGCATATGTTGTTTACGTATGTGATAGACTCCAAAATGGTGCTAGGGTGACGTGGAGGAGACGAATTGTCGAATAAAGTCGTTATTTTTGTTTTCTTTGTCGTTAAATTTGTTAATTTTGTTTTCTTTGTTTAGTTAAACTCTCCCTTTAACTATTCAATGTGCCTTTGCTATCCCCGGTGGTCAGTTTTGAACCAAATGCCCTGTTTTGCTCAACAAAATGCAGCTAGCTCATGTTGTTAGAGTTTCTTTATTAGATGGGGTCATAAAATCAGCCATAATGTCTTCAGGGTTTATGTTGTTTATAAAACACATTCTTCCTTGACCAGCTGCAACCGTGCAGTTTGCAAATCATTTGTTTGTTTCAAATGTTTTTAATGAATCTTTTAACATAAAAAGCTTATAATTGGAGCTGCACAGTTAATTGCATAATTAATCATGTTTATGGTTACAATGGCCCTGATTAACTAATCTTGAAAAGGGTCAATTACTGCAATAGAAAGGTTTGTGTAGCATTTAACGGATCGTTCCAGTAACTATAGAAGATTGTTTCTGCCATGTGATAAATTTAAAAATAAAAAAGTAAAAAGGTAATTGCGACTTTTTGTTTCACAGTTCAGACTTTTTTTCTTGCCTTTCCGAGTTAGTCAGAATTGCAATATAAACTTAGAATTGGGAAATATAAACTCACAGTTCTGAGAAAAAAGTCTGAATTTTGAGACACAAATTTGCAAATACTTTTTTAATAAAAAAAAGCAGAAGTAGACTCAGAATTCAGTTCAGAAAAAAATCAGATTTTCATTTATTTATTTATTTTTCTCAGAATTGTTATTTTATATCTGTAGTTAATTTCTTGCAAATTCTGACATTTTTTGCATTTCTTGCATTCAAAATTGGAAGGAAATAAGTAATAAATAAATTGTTAGATAAAGTGTAGCAAATACCTCTTTTATTTTTTATTCTGTAGCAAAAAAAAATAATAATAAAATAAGGGATGTAGACTCAGATTTCAGAGGGAAAAAAAGTCAGATTTATGTGTTAATATCTCTTAATTCAGATTTTTTTTCTCAGAATTGGGAATTTATATATCCAAATAATATCTTGCAAAATTCTGACTTCTTGCAATTCTTACTTTCAGAAATGGAGGGGGGAAAAGTTGGAATTTTGTGATAAAAAGTAAATACATTTTTTAATTATATATATAATAATATATATATTTTTTTCTTCGTGGCAGAAACAGGCTTCAATAAATAAGAGACATATCGGTTTAAAATTTGTCTGTAGCCCACAAATAATGAGCGTGTTTTAAGTTCACTGAACACATTCCTCAGCTCGTTTTGGATGTTTACATTCATAATACATTCTATGAATCAAATATAATAATCACAATTATGAGGGAAATAAACCATAATCTCCAACACCAGCATCTAATCACGTTTCTTTGTCCACTTCTGTCTCAGTGACATCCAGAGGTTGGGAGTCACATTAATGGGCCATCAGAAGAAGATCATGACCAGCGTCCAGATGATGAGAGCCCAGGCACTGAACCAGAGCGTGCCGTCGGTACACATATAATCACGGACCTCGCCAGAACACAAGTACATATTGATCTGATACATGTTTGGGTACTTCAAACGACTGTCCCTTCCTAAACGAAAGCTGACATGGACTATTGTTACTGGGATAAGGATGGAGTTTTTCTTCTTCGGCGGGACTTTCTGCAATTATCCCTTTTCTCTTTTACTTTCTTTTGTAAATGTTTGGACTGCCTTAAATGACACATTATTTAAATATTGTTGTACATGGATAAAGATTTTATGAATTATAGAGTCATGAATATATGTAAAGAGTGGACCTAGTCATGAATATTAAAAAGATGGAAATGAATATGCAGTGTACGAGTTTGGTCACACCCACCGCAGCAGCACAACGGCATGGATGAAACTTCACGAGTGCCTCAAGTGCTGAGACATGACGCTGAATAAAAGACGAAACAATGAGACGCCACAGGAGAATGCGTGTTAAGCTACAAGCATATAATCTACGACGAACCGAGACCCTCAAGAGGAAACATTTGGGCTCCTGACAAAAGCTGCAGAGCGCACAAGAATACGGACAAATGCTGAATTAGTCTCTGTTTTGTCTCTGTGGTCATAAAAAGGGAAAAAGGCAATTATGTATGTCATGTGTTTGATTAAACACTCTGAAACTCAACCTGCTGTTATTTATTGCGTGCAGAACGGCGCCGGATCCCTCTGGAAATGGGAGGAATAAATATGTGTAAATGTTGGTCTGCAGAAAACAGAACATTTTTAACTTTTCCTTACTCTTGAAATATGTCTGAAATGGAATCTGTGCCGCTGGATTCAGAGTTCAGGCCAGTTTTAAATTATTTATTGGTACCTTAAGAAAATCATTGAGTATTCTCAGTGTTTGGGCTGTTTTACGTCAAATAAATCATTGGCTTTGCTAAAACGAACACATTAAAGATACAGTAATGAACTTGCGTTGTGCTAAAAGGCGTATCGCACATAATTGTTAGAGGTCATGAATGCATGAACTAGCTTTTCTGCAGTACAGTAATACAGTAATGAACTTGCGTCGTGCTAAAAGGCGTATCGCACATAATTGTGTGGATGTTGAAATAGTGGGACTGACTAATTTAAAGTCAACATGAAATCAAAACTGACCCTGTTTACTTTGCTAGATGTTGCTGGTCTTATTACGAACGATTCATCGATGCACGTTTTTCCAAAAATGTTTGTTTTTGTAATTTTCCCCAAATATTCTCTGCCTCTTTCACCAGCTGAAAGGACGTTCTCCTCCAACCACTTTTCATGATTCTATGGAAGCTTGTTTCCACCATAAAAAAATAAATAAATACATGAAATAAAGGAATTTGCGATTAACTTTTTATCTCACAATTTAGAAATTCTTTTCACAATTCTGACAGAATTGTGAGAAAAAAGGTATATAAAGTCAGCATTGTGAAATATAAACTCAATTCTGAGAAGAAAAGTAAAGTAAAAAAAAGAAAAGAATTCCAAGATATAAACTTTAAAGATAAAGTTGCAATTCGCTTTTTAAACGAACACATTAAAGATACAGTAATGAACTTGCGTTGTGCTAAAAGGCGTATCGCACATAATTGTGTGGATGTTGAAATAGTGGGACTGACTAATTTAAAGTCAACATGAAATCAAAACTGACCCTGTTTACTTTGCTAGATGTTGCTGGTCTTATTACGAACGATTCATCGGTGCACGTTTTTCCAAAAATGTTTGTTTTTGTAATTTTCCCCAAATATTCTCTGCCTCTTTCACCAGCTGAAAGGACGTTCTCCTCCAACCACTTTTCATGATTCTATGGAAGCTTGTTTCCACCATAAAAAAATAAATAAATACATGAAATAAAGGAATTTGCGATTAACTTTTTATCTCACAATTTAGAAATTCTTTTCACAATTCTGACAGAATTGTGAGAAAAAAGGTATATAAAGTCAGCATTGTGAAATATAAACTCAATTCTGAGAAGAAAAGTAAAGTAAAAAAAAGAAAAGAATTCCAAGATATAAACTTTAAAGATAAAGTTGCAATTCGCTTTTTAATTTTTTTATTTTATTATCCTGTGGGAGAAAAGATCCCACCATACATTCAATTCCCTTGTTGAATTTCCTTTTCAGAGAAGTAAAATGGGTTGTGAATGCCATTTCATGTTGACTTTACAGAAACACTGGACCTCATTTAATTTTTGAAAACAGGGTATTGTCTGTATGTTAATATTTTTATTTATTCAATTATAATTATTCAGTTTTAATTATTAAAATACCTAATTGTGCATTTGTTTGTAAGACAAAGATTAATGGAGTTAATTTCCCATGAATCATTTATGTAAATATTAATAAAATAAAGTTTTTTTTCGCTCTCTCTCTCTCTCTCTCTCTCTGTTTCTTTGAAAAAGAGCAATATCTATAAGCAAACTGGAGTGCAAATAAAAACAAAACACTCCTATATTGTAATAAATGTAACCAATCAGAGAGGACATTTAAATGTCATCATTATCAATATCATCATCATGTTTAAAATCCACCCATTCAAAATAATCCATGTCAACACAACATGAGTAAATCTGAGTCGTACAGTGTTTTACCTCAAATCAATTTTTTCAATGTTTTAATCATTTATTACTTTCTCCATTGTGAGATTGTTGTATTTTTTAATAAAATTCATTTATTTTTCTATTATTATTATTATTATTATTATTAATTCTCCTTATAGTAATGAAAAAAACTGTGCACACAATGTTTTAAATTCATACATATTAATTATCCATTAAAATAATTATGCATTGCAAAAAATTCATTTTTTTTTAAAGTGCTTATCTTTTTTTCTGTTGATCATGGTAAATTTTGACACTTCTTGACAGTTTTTGTGACATTCACAGGTATTTGGTGGAACATTATCATGCATTATCAAGTGTATGTGCATATTCTGTCCCAGACAGCACTTCAGTGACAGCAGAGCAATTGCTTTTAATGTCCGCTGGGCTTTAGTGCTTTCCTCTGAGAGGTTTCTTCATTACTTTAACATAAAGCTGTGAATTTAATAAATCTGAGTCGTACAGTGTTGTACCTCAAATCAATTTTTTCAATGTTTTAATCATTTATTACTTTCTCCATTGTGAGATTGTTGTATTTTTTTAATAAAATTCATTTATTTTTCTATTATTATTATTATTATTATTATTAATTCTCCTTATAGTAATGAAAAAAACTGTGCACACAATGTTTTAAATTCATACATATTAATTATCCATTAAAATAATTATGCATTGCAAAAAATTCATTTTTTTTTAAAGTGCTTATCTTTTTTTCTGTTGATCATGGTAAATTTTGACACTTCTTGACAGTTTTTGTGACATTCACAGGTATTTGGTGGAAGAATTATCCATTAAAATAATTATGCATTGCAAAAAATTCTTTTAAAAACTTATCTTTTTTTCTGTTGATCATGGTAAATTTTGACACTTCTTGACAGTTTTTGTGACATTCACAGGTATTTGGTGGAACATTATCATGCATTATCAAGTGTATGTGCATATTCTGTCCCAGACAGCACTTCAGTGACAGCAGAGCAATTGCTTTTAATGTCCGCTGGGCTTTAGTGCTTTCCTCTGAGAGGTTTCTTCATTACTTTAACATAAAGCTGTGAATTTAATATCTTAAAACTGAATCATGACTACACTGCATATATCAAGACACTGTCAGCTTGCATTGTCACATTATGAAAGTTGTCATCTACGCGGAGACCAAATATTAGCAACTGTTTTGTCTGTGTTTGCCTTTGCCAAGAGTATAACTTGCCCATTTGGATGGTTCTCTGCATGCTGAAACCATTCATGCGCAAATGTCACCTTGAAGCGGATTATACCCAGAATTCATTTCAGGTGAATGATCACATTTACAGAACCTGTACATGCACAACAAACGTCATTACACTGCAAAACCACTTCACTGCATAAAAAAATATAACTTTGGGCCATTTTTAAACAAAGTTTTTGCAGGTTTTATGACTTGAAATTGACAGGTTTTAAGTTTGAAAATAAAATGTATTTTTTTGTCATTTTTTTCATTACTTTTAACTCTATTGAAATAAATAAATAAATAAAATAAAATACAATTTTGTCTCGTTTTCCAGTGCAAATATCTCAAGATCCTTAAATCAAGATACACTTGAGAAGTAAAATTACATAAAATAAGAGGCCTTGTTTTCTGAGAAACTGATCAAAATTAAGTGAATTTATGATTAAAAAAGAACAAATATCTGCCAACGGCTCAGAAAAATCAACTTAATTCAAAGAGAAAACAAATTTTCATTCCCTATTGACACGTTTGCATAAACTTAATTGATTTTGTTCAATTTCTCCGAAAACAAAACGCCATATTTGCATCTCAAGTAAATATGTCTTAGATATGTGTACTTGAAAACAAAAGACGAAGATATTCCTTTTTTGCAGTACATGTAACATTCAATGTCATGTACTTGTGAATTTAAGATTTTTTTTTAAGTACAATTAGCTTGTAATTTAAAATAACAATAGATGTGTTGTTAAAAATATGGATTTGGAGACTTAGTGGTCATTGATGTAAAATGAGGAAGAAAGTAAACTTAGGTAAACAACATATCTTTCTTATTTAATGCAAAGACTTTCAGACATTTTTAAGTCTGACTTAAGTGTCCAAATGCATTTAGGGCTTCTGCTTGACTATAAAGAAACAAACTTTCAACACTGAACTGATTTGCACTTCCCACAGACAGTTAAAGTGACTTTCTTCTGCAGTTAGATGTCAAATATTAGTCTGTCCCACAAAACTCTTAGATGAGATGCGTTCAATTCAAAGACAGCCTCGTTTCACAGCCTCAGCCCGTCGGAGATAACAGAGTTCTCTGTTGCGGATGTGTGTTGTGCCGACGTACGAAACTTGTCCTCCATCACTTTCTCATTCCCGTTGAGTGAGCACAGTCAGATAGGACACCGGGAGGTCACACAACAAGCTGTGCCACAATGTGCCGCCCTCCCACACTACATAATGCAAACTATTAGAATCAGATTATGCCACAGAAGACTTCTGACTATAAGTCAAGGCATTTTACAGATTACACAAACACTAACATGTTAGTGTAGTTGACAGATATAATCAAGATTTTAAGTTAAAATATGTATCTGAATGCTTCAGGGAATGCAAAAATGAAAGAAAAAAGAAAAAAAAAATGGTAACATTTTACAATAAGGTTCCATTTGTTAACATTAGTTAACATGAATTAAGAATGAAACATACTTGTAATCGCAGTTCATATTAATTGCAACATTTACTAATACATCATTGAAATCCAAATCGTATCTTTTAATATGAATGGACCAGAACTAACAATGAACAGTTGTACTTTAATTCATTAACATTAACAAAGAATAAAAATTACTGTAACAAATGTTAGTTAACATTAATGCATTAATTAGCATTAACTAATGCATCTTATTGCAATGTGTTACCAAATAAATAAATAAATAAAATAATAATAATAATAAAATAAGCAGCACAACTGTTTTTAAGATTGATAATAATGTTAAAAAATGTTTCTTAAGTGGCAAATCAGAATGGTTTCTTTTTTTTCTCGACATGTTTATTCATGTATTACCATAATAAATGTACAATGTGCTTTCCTGAAAGAAACAACAATACAATATATTATTGTAATATGATTGTAAAGAAATACAATCATTTAAAAGCCTTTAAAATACTGTGTGACATAAGTGTTGTTTCAAATAAACCGCTACAAAGATGATAAATGCATAAACAAACCCAAAATAAATTAAATAATTGAAAAAAAAAGGAAAATAAACCTAATAACACCATTGATAAATACTAATAAGAATCATTTCTGAAGGATCATGTGACATCACAGAAATAAATGAA